CATCACACACACACAAAATCAAACTCATTATTATATCATTTTTAAATCTTTCTTCTTCCCTCATCCTGTTAGCCATTGAGTGCTTTCCTGTTTTAGATTCTGTATTCCTGTATGATGAACTTATCCCTCTGTTATCTTCCATGGTCTGCTTTTTCTTCATAAAATACCTCTCCTCAGACCAAGAACTTCAAATCTAAATTCTGGGAGAAAGCTGTATGGCTTCTTTGAAAAGAGGAATTTATGTTCTCTATTGCTGCCAAGTGCTTTTGTGCAGTAGACATGCAGATGGATGAGCCAGTCTTGGGAGGACTCATTCATATTGAAGATATTACTGTTAAATTGTGTGTTTGAACTTAGTTTATTTTGTCAGTCATAGTAGATATTATTTGAGGGCAGATGTTGATGCTATTAAGCCAGCCATTTAATCATTTCAAAATATTTATAGATGTCTTAGAGTATTTTTTGTTGTAAGCAATGAAAACCCTATTCAGATTGGGTAAGCAAAAAATGTTACATCACTGTTTCAAGTAATTCATAAATCCAATGGGTCGCTCAGGCACAAAGGGAATCAGATGATTAACCAAGGTCATCTAGGTTCTCATGCCTCTGGCTCTGCCTTGTGTTGGCTATATTCTTTACTGAGTCCCCACTAGAGTGGGGACCACGACATCAACAGCAGCCATTAACAGCACATTTTTGCCTTGCCAGTTTGGGAATCCTGTTGGAAAGAGAGCTTTATTCTGCTGGGAGTTAAAGCAAAATTCCTAAAATGGATTTTCTATCCTGTCCGTCCCTCTGTCTTGCCAGGGATGCTCATGTGCCATCACTAGGCCTCTGTTTCCCCAACCACATTTCCCATGTGTGGGGCATAAGAGATTCGGAACAAAGTAAAAGGATGGTTTCCAGAAGGTAAATGGTTGCTGGAAAGTCAAAGACCACCTGTAATTGGCTGTGATTGTTGGTAAAATGAATTTAATATATCAGTGACACCTGGTGTTTATAATTTATTCAGTACTAGTTCATAGATTTATATAGTTATTTGTAGCTTTACATGTAAGTCGTCTGTCTGCTTTTTTGGCAGTACCGAGGATTGAACCTAGGGGCTAGTATACACCAAGGAAGAGCTGTGCCATTTGAGCCACACCCCAGACCAGATAGAAAAGCTCTTTTAGATAATACTTTTCTTACATCTGTTGCAAACCTTAAAACTGGGCATAGTGCCTGCACATGGTAGATTTTGAGTAAAGTTTAGGTGCTGTTAAAATAGTGATTACTTTGTAGCAACATGCTCATTATTGTTGGTGGCAAATACTTCTGGAGCTATGTCATTTAGTGTTGGTGAAGAAGCTATGTATACACAATCCCTACTCATACATACAGAGAACACCCTGGACAGTATCCAGTAGTGTGGGGCTCAGTGAAATGCATAATGAACAACTTGGTGCACACAAGCCATAGATATAGAATTACTATGGACTTCCAAGGAGATTAGAGAAAAAAAAATATTCCCAATTCCAACTACTGGTTCTAGTTCAAATAAAATTTTGTTATGACACTTCAGCAGCTGTGCCAGATAGCTCTTTAAAAAAAAAACTGACCGGAAAAAAGTCCTCATAGAACTTCCTGTGACAGATCCAAATGTAATCATAACAAATAATACAGATTTCTCTTTTATTATAGCCACAATAGAAAGGCAAGGGTTGTGTTTACAAAGCATGTTGATTGGGAGAATTTGGTAATTTGTAATCTTTGGAAATCCCAAACAAATTGGATGTAATCCCATCTATTAGCTGAAGTCAACTGACCAATGGAATAGATCCCAAACAACAAGTTAAATTGAGAACACGAACAGGAAGCAGTCGTTAAGAATTACAATGGGTAGGATGCAGAGTTAATTCAGGGAGATGTTTTGTTATGAGGCAATTACATCACTGGGACAGCTGGAAAACTGAGAACTGTGCTGGACCGCAGTGCTTGTTCTCTGCCCTGCAGCTGGAGGGTCAGGACAATAGAGACTGCAAAAGAACTTTCTTTATGGGATACTTAGGGGCTTGGCTGACTCAGTTGTGAAATGATAATGGTCCATCAGACTTGTTTGGGTTGCGACTGTACAGCTAAACTAGATATATAACCTTAGTAAATACTGAAAACCATTTTCCCTCTTATTTTTTGAACATTTATTTGGATCATGTTATGTGAAGTTCTAATGGGTAAACACTGAACATAATTTTCCTCTGAAGGTCATCTGAAAGATATTTTATTCATATTCAGTATAGTGTTATTATTCCATTTTCTTGTGGAATTACATTCAAAGTATAATCATTGAATGGAATTTTTGTTGGTTTACTGAATATCTAGCCAAAAAAATTAAAAACCAAGAGCTTTAGAAAGTCATAAAACGTTGATTAACAAGAGAAAACTTATGGTGGCAGTTGCTTACCTTCTGTGTTTATGTTCAAGTGTTCAGACCTGTTTGGTTCATGTGTTTTGCAAGTGTAGGGGTTATAGGCAGCCTAGCCACATTCCTCATTGATTTATATAAATATATTACAGATTGTTAACCTCTAGCCAAATACCAGGCATTTCATTTCTTGGTTAGCTCAGTTGGCATTTGTGAAACTCATTTGCTGCTTATTGAAATAAATATCTTTTATCAACCAAACGACTATTCTTTGGTTTAGGATCTTCTAGAAGCAGTCAAATAAAAAACGATCATGAGTAATTATGTTGTAGAATTTATAAGATTAATATTTGCAACTAATTACTTAAAATGTTATTTTCTACCCATTAAGACTAATGTAGTCATCAGCTTTTGCTACAGTAGCATTTATTAAGCAACTAAATCACACCAACATTCATATTTTAGTCTACATGTCTTCTCTGAAGTAGTGGGTCTATAGGATACTGATGGCCAACATGTTAACCAAAAAGGAGAGAGAAGCTTATATAGGTACTCTTGGAACGTTTTTTTTCCCCTGATGCTAATTATGAACTTCCAAATTTCCTCCAGTTATCAAGTTCAAAGATCTGTTTTCATAAATTTCCCAAATGCTTTTTGTTTGTTTGTTTGTTTTTTGGTCCAGTCATGGGGCCTGAACTCTGGGCCTGGGCGCTGTCCCTCAGCTCTTCAGCTCAAGGCTAGCGCTCTACCACTTGACTCACAGCGCCACTTCCGGCTTTTTTCTTTTTGCTTATGTGGTGCTGAGGAATCGAACCCAGGGCCTCATGCATGCAAGGCAAGCGCTCTACCACTGAGCCACCTTCCCAGCCCCCAAATGCTTTTTGTAGTATACATTTGTATGGTTTTTTTTTTATGGCTCTGTCTTTAATGACTCCATTAAATGGATGTTTTTAACCTAATCAGAATAATGTTCCAAATAAGACACAGTAAGGAAAAATACTACTTAGAAATAGACATTAAAATGTAAAATACAGAAGATTTGGAAGTAGATACGCATAAAGGAAAAATGAAGTTGATTTTGTTAATTTAATAAAGTTGGAGAAGTCACCCCAAGCTACCCATAATTGACCAGTAGTTGGATGTGGCTGGAAGTGTATATAGAAATTGCATATGCTATGTTCTTTGTCCCACCAGATTTAGTTTAGTGGTTTTTAGATTCTCTTAAAATTAGTTTAGATTCATAAGGAAGTACCAAATGTCAAGAAGTCCATATAGCCCAAAAAACCAATGAGAATTAATAAAAGTAATATACAAACCAGAAGTGAGAGTGAACTGTGTTTAGTTGGTCTGTGTGCACATACACAATTCTTTTCATTGAAGAGGGTATTTATCCATTTTTTTAATGAAAAAGACAGGAGCAGCATTTTATTAGCATTTTATTAACTTTCTCAGTATTTATATTACATTCTTCTCAGAAGTTTACTATAGATTGCTTATGGCTGCTTTGTTTAATTCTTCAAATATTCAGTGATAATCTCTTATGCCAATACTGCATTGTGGTTAGACATAAAGTATGTTTTGTCCTTAAGGTTGAAGGTTATTTTGACTACTGAAGGCTTTTGTTTTTTGTTTCTAGAACTTAAATCCTGAATTAGTTGTATGATTTTATGGTGAAACTGAATTTTCACAGATCCAAACTTAAGTACAGTATCTGTTAATCTGTGTTTTTAATCATTGAAAGATGATACAGTCTACCAGTAAAGATTTTTTTCTGTCCCCTTCCTCCAAAAAAAGAATTTTATGAATTTCACAGTTACATTGTAGTATGCTTTAACCTAACTGAGGAATAAATCCATTATATCAATACTTAACAGTTTTTATGGTTCCATTTAAAAATATTTAAGGTGTACATGTTCAACAATTCTGAAATATATTGTGCTCAACAGTATGAAATATATAATGCCTTAGTTATTTCAGTTACCATCTATATAGTAGCTCAGCAATACCTCAAGTATATACAATTAGCTATCAAAAAATTTTAAAGTTTTCTAAAATTACAGTGTTAATATATTTAGAAAGTTAATATGAATTAATAATTTTTTTCTCTTTACACAGAATTAATTTGACTCACCAGAATGTGTCAAATGTCTTAGAAATAAACTCATTCTCCATACTTGATAATACTTTTGTTTATAAGCATGGTTACGACCCCTTAAATTCTAAGAAAATCTTCATTACAGAGTCTAGAATCTCTAAAGAATGTCTTAAGCTGTGATCTAAAAAGAAGCAAATTTTGTCTCTCAATGACAAGTTAAAATCATGTCCATCAACATTCTACCTAAGGTCTTACCTTAAGCAGTGGTTCTTATTCTCTAGTCATTTGACTCTGGCTTGGCTATGAAGGATGTTCTCCAGCTTAACTTTCACATTAAAGTATCAGGTCTTAGTAGGTATCTTCACATATGATCACACATGTGAGTGACCTGTGCCATCTCCCCTTCCCCATTATGTAATAAAATTGAGAGATAGATCTGAAAGACATTCAGGTTACTTTTTTTTTGCTTATTCCCACCTACTTAATCTCTTGTTTGTCTTCTAGGTTGTTTGATGTATGCACAGTGTCACGAACAGACAGAGAGACCAAACTAACACTAGTGTTTGAACATGTTGATCAAGATTTGACCACTTACTTGGATAAAGTTCCAGAGCCTGGAGTGCCAACTGAAACCATAAAGGTACCATGAAGCTTCTTTTTGCCTTGTCAGGCAGTTCACAGTTACAGTCTATTAAACAATAACATTCTTTTCTTATAAAAAGTGCTAGAATTGGAGCTTTTAGAATTCAATATATGGTTTACAATGTCAACTAATTAAAATATTCACAGAATTGGATGCCTTCTTGATCATTAAAGTAAAGCAAAATAATCCTTTAGTTTTTAATGCTAATTAAAATTAGTTAATAATATCTATTGGTACATCATCTAACCTTAGAAAGTATAGTGTAGCCGGGTGCTGGTGGCTCACGCCTGTAATCATAGCTACTCAGGAGGCTGAGATCTGAGGATCGCGGTTCAAAGCCAGCCCGGGCAGGAGAGACCATGAGACTCCTATCTCCAATAAACCACCAGAAAACCGGAAGTGGTGCTGTAGCTCAAGTGGTAGAGCGCTCGCCTTGAGCTGAAGAGCTGAGGGACAGCGCCCAGGCCCAGAGTTCAAGCCCCACGACTGACAAAAAAAAAAAAGTATAGTGTAATAAATATAGCTGGTGGTTTTGGACCATGGTGCTTCATGGTCTTTAAGAAACATATTTTGAAACCTCATTCATGAGCATATCAGTATGATAATTGCATTTTAACCTTAGGACATACCTTAACATGTAATTCTGAATTACTAGTTGTTTGACCATTTCTGTTATTTTTTTCTCATTCATGTAAGCCTAAATTCCAGCCTCTTGGGATTCAAAAAAAATTTAAATGCTTTCTTTGGGATTGGATGCATGGTTTAGTTGGTAGAACGCCAGGCAACCAATGAATGATAGTGTCTGATACTGAGTTCAAGTCCCAGACTCAGACAACAGAAAAATAAATAAATAAATAAATAAATAAATAAAATGGTTTCTTGCCTGTCAAGGTGAGCAAGGTAGATACACTGTATTGACTACTGGTTTTTTCCTTCTTTATGTCTTACTAAGAAAAGCTGCTTATAAAATTTTCCTGATATTACTTGAATTCTACTCAACTGACCTGCCCAGAAAATCTGTTAGATTTGTACATATAATGTGTAGCTCTTCATGAAGCTCTTTTTGCAGATAACTTTTTATACTCTTGTTAAGGAATAAATTATAGATTTTAGCATCATTTCATGTAGGAATTAATATCTTCTCAACAGAGTAAGAATAATGTCTTTAAGTGATAACTAGAAGATGTTCCCAGATACACTTAGTATTTGTAGTAATACATCATTTCTCCTTTTTTTCTTTTTCTTTTTTTGGTCGGTCATGAGGCTTGAACTCTGGACGTGCGTGCTGTCCTTGAGCTATTCAGCTCAAGGCTAGTGCTCTACCACTTGAGCCACAGCATCACTTCCAGCTTTTTCTGTTTATGTGGTGCTAAGGAATCGAACCTAGGGCCTCACGCATGCAAGGAAAGCACTCTACCACTGAATAACCTTCCAAGCCCCATGATTTGTTCTTTTGGTTTGAGGTCAGTAAGTATATTTTCTCCACCTGGTTTGCATAAAACAATGTAGTGCTCAGCAAGGGTCTTATTTCTTCCTACAAAGTTGCAAAGACATTAAAAGCCCCCTAAATGTAGGTATTTCTGATCACCTGTTCTTGGCCTTATTCCCACTACTACTATTTTCCTTTTTCATTTAGTCCATGTTTTTCTTTTATGAGCTTGTTTAAAAAAATCACAAAACTGTGATCAAGATAGAGACAGAGATTTAGACCCTGTTTACTTAGCCAGTTTTTATATTGGGCTAATCACAATTCTGTTAGTGTGATCTGTGTGGCCATTTGTAGATAATAATTCATCCAACCAATGAGCATGGGAGGTTTGTTTCTTAATTTATTTTAAAAATGACTACTACTAAAATAATCATTTGCACTGGGCACTGCCTATAATCCTAGCTACTCAGGAGGCTGAGATCCAAGGATTGCAGTTTGAAGCCAGCCACAGAAGAAAACTCTTTTATCTCCAACAAACTACCAAAAAGCTACAAGTAGAGCTGGGCTCAAGTGGTAGAGTGCTAGCTTAGAGCAAAAAAATGCTCAGAGACAGCACCTAGGCCTGGAGCCCCAGGACAGACGGGCGTATGTGCGCATGCACACACACACACACACACACACACACACACACACACAAATTATTCACTTTACCTGATACATTTTTAATTTCAAAGTTATTTTATGGGGTGTCATAAAAAAAGTCAAAGTAGTCATATACTCATAGCATACATTGGCATGTCCATGGGTTTCTTTTTCCTTTAAGCTTCATATTAAGTTCTCATATCTTATTAAAGGCTTCTAATTAGCATATGTGTAATGATTGATGTATAATGACTGATAAGCCAGTATACTCCATTAGACTGAAGCTGGATTAGAAACTAGTAGAAATGAAGTGGTCTGGGGAAATTTTCAAACATGGGTGAGGAGGCTTAAGCAGGATAAGGAAAGAACAGAAAGAGGAGGTTAGTTGCCAAACTGCCACAGATGGAAGGAACTAGGGAGTGGTTGAGCCAGGATTGGGGGCGAGTGTTACCAGAACATTTGAACTTGCTAAAGGTTTTATGACTTTTCCAGTCTATTGCTAGGGAAAAGGAGTGTCACTTCATTTATGGTAAACTGGACATTCTCATGGAGACTGTTAAATTTCTTCAGCCATCCAATTCAGTATCCCCATTGATCCTGTAGAGACTATTTTTCCTTGTGGGAGTGATGGTGAGGTTGATGGCTCTGGTTTATGCTTTAGTGTACTGATGCTTTCTTAGTAAGATATGTCCAAATGAAATATTTAAAACAGCTTATGTTAGTTATGTTACTTGAATACTTTTTTCTAACTTATCAGAAGTCATTTTTTGTCTCCATTCTTGATTTCTAAGTTTTCTAACATATTTTCCTTTTTTTATTAAATTCAATATTTTTTTCTAATATGAAGTCTTTTTTGTACTTTGAAGTTATTGTTGAAAATATGAGTAATCATTTAGAAGCATGATGAAATCAAAATGGTTTTGGCTAATGTATAATTGATATAAATTTATTTTTAGCAATCATTTATATCTTTTTTTACTGTTAGGTAACTTTTAAAAAATGGAATATTGGCTACTTCAGTGCTGGTTAATTGAAGTTTTCCAGCATACAAGTAGAGAACGGAAATATTTTGTTATACAGGATTATTTATAGGAAGTCTCAGTAACGTCATCAAGTTAATATTATCATGCTAAAGGACCTACTGCAAAGACAAAAACTTGACTCATGTAATTGTAATCCCTCTGTACAGCACCTCTATAATAACAATAAAGTAAATGAATTAAAAAAAAAAAGAACAACACAATTCCCAAAGCTCCCACCTGCATAGAAAGAGAGCTTGTTTCTACCAGCCATAATGGAAAGACCTTTGAAAACTTTTGGTCTTAGTCCTCAGGACAGTTTAGTCTTAGTACTGAGAAAGAATCTGTATTAAAGGAGGTAAGGGAGATTTGAAGAAGTAATGACTGGAATGGCATCAAATTTAATAAAAATACAAGCCCACAAATTCAAATTCAAAGAACACCAAGCAAAGGAAAAATTGTAAAAACACCAGACTGGTTCATTCATCTTCAGAATTTGGAAAATAAAGCCAATCATGACTGATACCTGTTTAAAAGAGAAAACAGATTCTTTATATAGAATACTTTTCAGAAGTTTGTCTGGATATACATGTAAAAATGTTTATTGAAATTATTCTGTGCAGGAGAGATCTATGCTAGGCACTTTCTGGACATCAAGCTGAATTAGAGATGAACCTACTCTCAGGGTGCAAAAGAAGAAATACAAAAACAAGAGATAAAAGCACACAGAAACATGTTTATAATTATTTAACACACTATGATTATTTCAATAATTTAGGGAGCATTTTCAAGTGCAAACAAATAGACCACTTATTTATAAATAAGTACAACCTGTATCTGATTTTCTTGGCATTATGATATGAAAATATTTTCTAAAACATTTTTGAAAGGCTGCAAATCATAGATATAATACTGACATTGTCATAGATATAATGCTGACATTCAGAACATACCAGATATAAACTACTTTAACATAAAATAGACAAAACAGAAAATAAGGATAAAACCTTACATAAGGTCATGTAGGCTAAGGAAATTTTCCTCCACCAGCTGTCCTCCACTGTTTCTATGGCACTGTTTTCCTGTTATGTAGTCACTGAAACTCAGGATGTTCTCATGTATATCCAGAGCACAAATTGCATTAATATGCAGAACTTGTTCAAAACTAGTGTTCCATAGTAACTATAATATTATTAATGTTGGGATGAACTCTTAAGTTAGTGTACCATTTCATTAGCATGTTCCTTAGAAAAGAACCCATGATGAGCTTACAAATATCCTGTGACAGTTTTTCAAATATGTGGATAACACTTGTTTTCAGAGGAAAAAAAAATACAAAAATCCACACCATAAGCTTTAAGTAGCTGTGAAAGCTGATAGTTTGCTGAATTTTAGAGGAAGTTCTGTTATTAATGAATAGTTTTTAATGTCAGATTTTGGTCATTTAAGTTAAGGATATAGGCCTGAATTGAACATTGGTGAAATCTCACAAAATTAAAGTTGGAGGTGGATCTTTCCAACATTATAAATATACCTTACTCTAAGTAAATGAAATAAGCATACTTATCTTAATAATAGTTCATCTTGAAGTTTTCATTACATTTCATTTCATTACATACATCTCTTTTCTCAATATTCTTAAAGTATACATACATATATATATATATATATTCTCAGTTGACAATGACACACCCATAAAGGAACCAGTTGACTGCTGCAAATATAATGTTGCCTCTAGTGTTATCACTGATATATCTTGCTTTCATCTTTCTAATTCAGAATATTATAGCTGGTTCTATTTAATTGTAAAAAGATCCATTGCTATATTTATTTAAATTTTTTAATTATTTCATAATTTAATTTTTATCATCTAGGACTTCCATACTTAAGTTTATGAGGTAAAAATT